GGGGCCCATGGGTTCAACCCTAAATTACCTGAGGGAACTCATCCACTAGCACTAGCAATCGTCTGCCGCATAACAATGCTTATCAGGGTTGGATCGCAGGGAAGACAATTCAATCAACGAAGTTGCCATGTTTCAACCTTGTAGACACGGCCCAGTGCACGAGTCTGAGAAGCTTTGTGGATCAAAGAGCCTCGTTGGATTACGGCTCTACCTCTGTAGCAGACTTTCAGGGATATCGCGATGGAGTGTCGATTGTTGTAAAGAAATGCTAGCGCAGTATGAGCCTTGTTTAGGGGGCAGCCAGACTGAAATGGATGAAGCATAATGTTTTACTTATATTATATGTGCGTATATGCTGCTGGCAAGCCGCCGCTGAGGCCCACCACTCCCAAACCGTTAAAGCCCTGAATCGACAAACCCCGGGAAGCGTCTTCCATGAGTGAACCCTAAACCCTCTCTCTCTCTCTCTCTCGCGGACTCAGAGGTCTGTCAGCCGAACCCTAAACCCTAAACCCCTAAACCCTAAACCCCAAAGGGGACGCTAGAACCGAAGCCCAAAACTGCCTTGAAGCCTTTCATTGTCCAGGTCACCCCGAAGGTCTCAGTCGCCCCCTCCGTGCGCGAAGTGCCGCCTTCCTGCACGAATTTGCTTGCCGGGTGTTTGCTACGAGGTTCCCCGGTAGCCCCTAAATAATAAGGGTACCCTTTTTCGTGCTATTTGGTTTGATGATAAGGGAACACAAAAAGGAAAAAGGGCACAAGGGCACTACTGGGGAAGGGTTTGAGGTTTCGATGCTGCGCCTTGAACTAATCAGGTGGCTTGCGGTGGTTAGCAACTGTTAGTATGCTTAGTATGCGGCTGTAGGTACAGCGGGGCTTATGATGGCTTTACCGCGGCATTTGAGAAATTTCAATAAGGTGCTGAGTTACATTATAGTATCGAAATAGAAAGGATGCTAAATATGTGTGTGTGTGTGCGCATCTGGGCAAATAGACGCATGAACCAACACATAAACAAATACATAAATATGTATGTGTATATAAACAGGTACGCGAAGTGCTCAAAATTCGCTGTTAACGAAAAGTTGGCCGAAGGCTCGAAAAAATGCAGAATAAAAGTTAGTATACATATGTCTGTACATACAGGTACAGGCCGCGGCATCTAGGCAAAAGTGTTCAGTCGTAGGGCCAAATAAAACTTTATGCATGCGAGCAACATTGGCAGCCCTACTCCTCCAAGACCTATACCCCGAAATCCTGAGCCCGGAACAATAAACCTAGAAACCGCCAAAAGCCAGACTCTACGTACACCCTGAACCCTCCCGACGTTGGTCGGCTCCTGTTCCCCTGGCAAGGCCCAGTACATCCAATCGAGGCCTGGCTTGCAAGGATGCTACTGGGTTTAGGGTTGAGGGTTTAGGGAGGTTACAAGTCCCGTAAATGGGGCTAGAAGTAATTATAAGTACAATTACCTTAGTTATAACCCTACTTACTAAGTCCCATGATCGTTTAAGTATGATTCGCCATAGCAGTTCAGTCGTGACGATAATTGCGGGCTGTGCCGGCAAGCAATGGTAGTAGTCGTCGTCGTTGTGAGTAGCCGAAGCACTAGTAGCCTTAGTAGCAGTAGCAGTAGCTGTTGTAGAAACAGTAGTAACAGTAGCAGTAGCAGTAGCAGCAGCAGAAGTAGTCGTCGTCGTGGCAGCAGCAGAAGTAGTACTATAACTAGCAGTAGCACCAGCACCAGCACCACCAGCAGTTGTAGTAGTAGTAGTAGTAGTAGTAGTAGTGGTAGTAGCGGTGGCAGTAGCAGTAGTAGTAAAAGCAGGTTATGGTGATGGCAGCGGTAGCAGTAGCAGTAGCAATAGCAGTAGCAGTTGTAGTACTAGTAGTAGCAGCAGTAGAAGTAGCAGCAGCAACAGCAGGAATGGTAGTAGTAGTAGTAGTAGTAGTAGTAGTGGTAGTGGTAGTGGTAGTTAGT